TATATATTGCTTTACATGTGAATGTTAGAAAAGAAGAAAGATTTAAAAGTAATGATCCATACTTGTAACTCAAGAATCTGGAGAAAGGAAAGAAAAATAAATTCAAATAAAGTAGAAGGATAAAAGTAATAAAAACAAATGGTGAAATCAATAAAACAGAAAAGTCAACAAGATTTTGGCTTTGATTTTTTGAAAATATTAATAAAAGTAATAAATAGCAAGAGGAAGATAACACAAACCATTAATATAAAGGGGCATCCCTACAGATCTCAAGTACATCAAATAGATAAGAGGAGGTTATTAACAACTTTATGCCAATAGACTTAATAGCTTAGATATAACGTACACGTTACCAAAAGTGACTCAAAAGGAATGAAACATCTGTAGAGTCCTATATCTATTAAATAAATCAAATCCATTATAAAAAATAATCTCATAAAATCATCAGTTGTAGATGATTTTACTGATGAATTCTTTCTACTACTTAAAGAAGAAATAATACCAATCTTACATGTGCTTCCAAAGAAGAGAAACATAGGCCAACTTCCAACTCATTTTATGAAGCCATCAAACCCTTGATACAAAATCCTGAAAATGATTCACAAGAAAAGAAAATATGTACCAATATTTTTTACTAATATAGTTATAATTATACTCAATACAACCTTAAATAATGGAATCTAGTTTTATACAAAATTACTAATACAGGAGGGGCCAAAATGGCCGAGTGGAAACAGCTCCTGTCTGCAGCTCCCACTGAGACAAACGTAAATGGTGGGTGAACCTGCATTTCCAACTGAGGCACCCAGATTCTCTCACTGGAACTAACTAGGCTGTTGGTGGGGCCCATGGACACAAAGGAAAAGCAGGGTGGGGTGATGACAGTTCACCCCAGAGCTGCTCGGGGTAAGCAAAGGGATCTCCTTCCTCAAGCCAAGGGAAGCGGTGAGAGATTGTGCTACCCTCCTAGAGAACTATGGTTTTCCCACATATTTTTACAATCTGCGGACCAAGAGATTCTCTCGTGTTCCCAAACCACCAGGGCTTTGGGTCCAAAGCACAAAGCTGTGCAGACCCATGGCAGCTGCTAGGGTCCACGACTGCTCAGACAGGGACTGAGCTGCAAGAGGTTTTGCATGCTCCAGCAGCTCCAGGAACTCCAGTGAGGCAGGAGATCCGTCCACTCTTGTGGGAAGGAGGCTGAAACCAGGGAGTCAACCAGCCTCGCTCAGCAGGTCCTAGTCTCCTGGAACCCTGCACACTAAAACCCACTGGCTTGGAACCCCTGCTGGTCAGCACAGCAGCCTGCAGTAGGCCTAAGATCATTGAGTTCCTGGGAGAAGGGGCGACCACCATTACTGAGGTTCTAGTCCCTGGTGTTCCCCTGCCAGCTGATAAGGAGACCATGAAGTTTGGACTGGGTAGAGTTCCCCACAGTGTAGCACAGTGGCTGTGGCAGATTGTGGCAAGACTGCTTCTTTAGGTAGGAACTGGATCTGTACCTCCCCACCAGTCAGGGCTTCCCTGCAGGAATTTCGGCAAGTGCAGCCAGAGGTTTACAGACAGAACTCTCTTCTCCCTGAGTCAGAGCACCTGGGGGAAGGGGACTTAATCTTTCCTGCCTACTGGCTCTGAAGAGTTCAGGCAATCCAGATGAGAGGGATTCCCCACCACCCAGCATACGCACACCACTTAGGGGCGTTCAGACTGCCTCCTTAAGCAGGAACCTGATCCAGTGCCTCCTGACTGGATGAGATCTCCGAACGGGGGTCAACAGACACCTCATATACGAGAATTCCTGCTGACATCAGGTTGGTGCCTCTCTGAGAGGATACTTCAAGAGGAAGGAGCAGGCAGCAATCTTTGCTGTTCTGCAGCCTCCACTGGTGATACCCAGGTGAACAGGGTCTGGAGTGGACCCCCAGCAAACTGTAGCAGACCTGCAGAACAGAGGCCTGACTGTTAAAAGAAATGCAAACAAACAGAAAGCAACAATAACAACAACATCATCAACAAAAAAGACACCCCCACACACACACACAAAAACCCCAACCAAAGGTTAACAGCCTCAAAGATCAAAGGTAGATAAATCCACGAAGATGAGGAAAACCAATTCAAAAATGCTGAAAATTCCAAAAGCCGGAATGCCTCTTTTCTTCCAATGATCACAAAAACTCTCCAGCAAGGGCGCAAAACTATGCTGAAGCTGAGATGATAACTGACAGGAGTAGTCTTCAGAAAGTGGGTAATAACGAACTTTGCTGAGCTGAAGGATTATGTTCTAACCCGATGCAAAGAAGTTAGGAACCATGATAAAAGATTACAGGAACTGTTAACTAGAATAATCAGTTGAGAGAGAAGCATAAATAATCTGATGGAACTGAAAAACACAGCATGAGAACTTCATGATGCAAACACAAGTATCAACAGCCAAATTGACCAGTGGAAGAAAAACTATCAGAGCTTGAAGACTCTTCTGCTGAAATAAGGCAGGCAGACAAGATTAGGAAAAAAAAAAAGAAAAAAAAAAAAAAGACTGAAGAGGAACAAACAAAACTTCTGAGAACTATGGGATTATGTAAAAGGACTGAACCTACGACTGATTGAAGTACCTGAAAGATGGGGAGAATGGAACCAAGTTGGAAAATATACTTCAGGATATCATCCAGGAGAACTTCCCCAACCTAGCAAGACAGGACAGTCAAATGCAGGAAATCCAGAGAACCCCAATAAGATACTCCATGAGAAGATCAACCCCAATACACATAATCATCAGATTCTCCAAGGTTGAAATGAAAGAAAAATGTTAAGGGAAGTCAGAGAGAAAGGCCAGGTCACCTACAAAAGGAAGTCCCTCAGACTAACAGCAAAACTCTCAGAAGCTCTGCAGGCCAGAAGAGATTGGGGACCAATATTTAACATTCTTAAAGAAAATAATTTTCAACCCAGAATGTCATATCTGGCCAAAGTAAGGCTCATAAGTGAAGGAGAAATAAAATCCTCTTCAGACAAGCAAGTGCTAAGGTATGTTGTCACCACCAGGCCTGCCTTGCAAGAGCTCGTGAAGGAAGCACTACGCATGGAAAGGAAAAACCATTAAGAACCACTACAAAAACACACTGAAGTACATAAACCAACAACACTATGAAGCAACTGCATTAACAAGCCTGCAAAATGAACTAGCCAGCATCATATACAAGGACACACATAGGCTCAAAATGAAGGGATGAGGAAAATTTACCAAGCAAATGGAAAACAGAAAGAAGTAGGGGTTGCAATCCTACTTTCTGATACCAAAACCTGGCAGAGATACAACAAAAAAAAAGAAAACTTCAGGCCAATATTCCTGATGAACTTTGATGCAAAAATCCTCCATAAAATACTGGCAAACTGAATCCAGCAGCACACCAAAAAGCTTATTCACCGTGATCAAATCAGCTTTACCCTCAGGGTTGCAAGCCTAATTCAAAATATGCAAACCAATAAACGTAACTCATCACATAAACAGAACTAAAGACAAAAACCACATGATTATCTCAATAGACTCAGAGAAAAAAAAACTTCAATAAAATTCAACATCCCTTCACATTTAAAACTCTCAATAAACTAGGTATTAAAGGAATATACTTCAAAACAATAAGAACCATTTATGACAAACCCATAACCAATATCACACTGAATGGGCAAAAGCTGGAAGCAGTCCCCTTGAAAACTGGTACAAGACAAGGATGCCCTCTCTCACTACTCTTATTCAACATAGTATTGGAAGTTCAGGCCAGGGCAATCAAGCAAGGCAAAGAAATAAAAGGTATTCAAATAGGAAAGAGAGGAAGTCAAATAGGAAAGAGAGGAAGTCAAATATTCTTTGTTTGCGAATGATATGATCCTATATCTAGAAAACCCCATTGACCCAGGCCAAAACCTTCTTAAGCTCCTCAGTAACTTCAGCAGAGTCTCAGGATACAAAATTAATGTGCAGAAAACATAAGCATTTCTAAGGACTAACAACAGACAAGCAGAGAACCAAAACATGAATAAACTCCTATTCGCAATTGCCACAAAGTGAATAAAATACCTAGGAATACAGCTAACAAGGGAAGTGAAAGACCTCTTCAAGATGAACTACCAACCACTGCCCAAGGAAATCAGAGAAAACGCAAGCAGATGGAAAAATATTTCATGTTCATGGATAGGAAGAATCAATATCGTGAAAATGGCCATACTGCCCAAAGCAATTTATAGACTCAATGCTATTCCATTAAACTACCATTGACATCCTTCACAGAATTAGAAAAAGCAACTATTTTAAAATTCATATGGAACCAAAAAATAGCTCATATAGCCAGGACAATCCTAAGCAAAAGAACAAAGCTAAAGACATTATGCCACCCAACTTCAAACTAGGACACAGTAACCAAAACAGCATGGTACTTGTACAAAAACAGGCATATAGACCAATGGAACAGAATAGATAACTCAGAAATAACACCACACATCTACAACCATCTGATCTTTGACAAGCCTGACAAAAACAAGCAATGGGGATTAGATAGGATTCCCTATCTAATAAATGGTGCTGGAAAAACTGGATAGCCATATCCATAAAACAGAAACTGGACCCCTTACTTATACCTTATACAAAAATTGACTCAGGGTGGTTTAAAGACTTAAATGTAAAACACAAAACTATAAAAACCCTAAAAGAAAATCTAGGCAATACCATTCAGGACATAGGCATGGGCAAAGATTTTATGATGAAATATCTGAAAGCTATACGATGAAAGCAACAATTAACAAATGGGATCGAATTAAACTAAAGAGCTTCTGCAGAGAAAAAAATATATATCTTCAGAGTCAACAGACAACCTACAGAATGGGAGAAAATTTTGCAATCTACTCATCTGACAAAATTCTAATATCAAGAATCTACAAGGAACTTCAGCAAATTCAGAAGAATAAAACAACCCCATTAAAAAGTGGGCAAAGGCTTTTTCTCTCAGGCCAGTGGCGCCGACAGGATAGGCAAGTGTCGTGGACTTGGTACTGCTAGGAAGCTCCGTAGTCACCGACGAGACCAGAAGTGGCATGATAAACAGTACAAGAAAACCCATTTGGGCACAGCCCTGAAGGCCTACCCTTTTGGAGGTGCTTCTCATGCAAAAGGAATCGTCCTGGAAAAGTAGGAGTTGAAGCCAAACAGCCAAATTCTGCCATTAGGAAGTGTATCAGGGTCCAGCTGATCAAGAATGGCAAGAAAATCACAGCCTTTGTACCCAACGACGGTTGCTTGAACTTTATTGAGGAAAATAATGAAGTTTTGGATGCTGGATTTGGTCGCAAAGGTCATACTGTTGGTGATATTCCTGGAGTCCGCTTTAAGGTTGTCAAAGTAGCCAATGTGTCTCTTCTGGCCCTATACAAAGGCAAGAAGGAAAGACCAAGATCATAAATTTTAATGGTGAAAACACTGTAGTAATAAATTTTCATATGCCAAAAAAAGTGGGCAAAGAACATAAACAAACACTTCTCAAAAGAAGACATAAATTCTGCCAACAAACATGAAAAAAAATTTGCTCAACATCATTGATCATCAGAGTAATGTAAATCAAAACTACAGTGAAATACCATCTCATGCCATTCAGAATGGCAATTATTAAAAAGTCAAGGAACAACAGATGCTGGCAAGGTTGCAGAGAAATGGGAACACTTTTAGACTGTTGGCCAGAATGTTAATTAGTTCAACCATTATGGAAGACAGTGTGGCAATTCCTCAAAGATTTACAGCCAGAAATACCATTTGACACAGCAATCTTATTACTACATGTATACCCAAAGAAATATAAATTATTCTGTTATAAAGGTACACACATGCATATGTTCAATGCAATGCTATTTACAATAGCAAAGAGATGGAATCAACCCAAATGCCCATCAATGACAGACTGAGTAAAGAAAATATGGTACATATATGCCAAGGGATACTATGCAGCCATAAAAAGGAATGAGATCATGTCCTTTGCAGGGACATGGATGAAGCAGGAAGCCATTATCCTCAGCAAACTAATGCAGGAACAGAAAACCAAACACTGCATGTCCTCACTTATAAGTGGGAGCTGAACAATGAGAACACATGGACACACGGAGTGGAATAACACACACTAGGGCCTGTCAGGGGACAGCACGGTGGGGAGAGCATCAGGAAAAATAGCTAATGCATGTCAGGCTTAATACCTAGTTGATGGGTTCATAGGTGTCGCAAACCACCACGGCACACATTTACCTATGTAACAAATCTCCACATCCTGCACATGTATCCCAGAACTTAAAAGTTTAAAAAAAATAGTAATACATCAAAACTAAGGTTAATTTGAAAATTAACCAATGTAGATTAACCAGTAAGTAAACAAAGTAGACAAGCCATGTGATTATTTCAATAAATACAAAAAAAGATAATATTCAATACCCATTTATTATCTAAAAGAAAAATATTCCACACACTAGAGATAGCCAGAAATTTTCTTAATCTGATAACGGTTATCTACAAAAATGTTAATGATCTATATAACACGGTAAAATATTTACCATTTTCTCCTCCTGAGAATGGCAAGAACATAAGATGTCTACAGCCAACAATCCTATTCAAAAATTGGAGGACCGAACTAGTTCAACAAAGCAATAAAAAAGTAAAAAGATTGAAAAAGAATTAGTAAAATTGTCATTATTCACAAATGATATGATTTTTTACATAGAAAGCTCAAATTAATTCTCAAACCATTAGAGATAGTAAGTAAATTTAGGAAAGTTGCTGGGTATAAGACCAACATACCTTGCTTTATATTTATCCCAAGAAGGCAGAATGTTACCTTTCCCAGTCAATAGGTAGGATGTTGATGCCAATGGCACTCTACATAACTAAATAATTTGGAAGAAAACTTGTTATTCACACAAGGGATTCCTGAAATGGGAATGAGGGTACAAGCAGGTCTCAGCAGGCCTCTGTGGGTTGGGCCTATATAGTAGCAAGGGGGTGGGACTGGAGAAATAGTCCCAAGTGACAGCTGGTGGTTTGCCAGCTTTGAATTTCCCACATGCGCCATAAAAGGACATTCACTTGGGCTTTCTTACCAATCTGTCCTGATATGGAGCAAAAGGGAAAAGGGAGGTGGGGTTTGGAAGAAGTCAGAAGTCAAACATGAAAACATGGAATCAGACTCTGTGCTACATAACCCAAATAAATCATATGCTTGTATACCAGTAAACGTCACTTGAAAAATGAAATTTAAAAGAAATATGATTGATAAGGTCATCAAAATGCATCAAACACCTGGGGAGAAATGTAACAAAAGATTAAAAGATCTTCATTCTGTGAAAACTACTAAGCATTAGGAGGAAAATTTTTAAAGAACTTAATAAATAGAGGGATATGCTATATTAATGAATGTTATGATTCATTGTTGTTAAGATGTGAATTCTCCCCAAATTGATCTATAGATGTCATTTAATCCCAATAAAAATCCCAGCAGGTGTTTCATGGAGACTGACAAAACTACTAATGAATATCGAATCTGAGTCAGAAGATTTAGCTTGGTGATCATAACGGCAGGTATTATAATATTAAACTGAAATTACCTCTTCAATTCATCCCATGATGGGAAACAGAGTTTCCGGAAGAAACAAACACTGGTTTTGAAGATTAGTGTACACTTTCTTCTGCAGACACTGCCGAAGATGCTGTGTCCATGTTTCTACTTCAATTCTTTTCTCTTCTTCCAGGGTGGCCAATCTCCCATTTGATGGACATATTAGTCCCTTTTAAACCAGTATGATATATTGGTCCCCTTTAAGCCAGTATATTATGCTCCACAAACTCAGGGTGCAAATGAGGTCACAGTGAATTTTAACGAATAGCTTAATCTCTTTCCCCATCTTTAACCTTCTTATCAGAGAAAAAAAGAGTCTCTCTTTTCAGGTTTTTGTCTCCCCACTCACTCCCAATTTATCAAATAACTTTTGAGCACACTGCATGCAAAGAGTTCTTCCAAAAACAATGCGAGGCAAGGAGTGAGCTGGAGGTTGCCACTGCTTTTTCTTCTAGCTTCCATGTGGTACACCAGCACAAATGTGATCCTGCAGTCAATGTGCCCATGATTGCTTGGAACCCATGAGGTGGTTTACATCCAGGCTGCAGAAGAGCCTAGGAAGGTTGTAATATGTTTAAATTTATAATCCAGTGCTCAGCTAGTATTCCCCAAGTATATTCATTTTGCAGAAAAAAAAAATTGGTTTAGAGAATATTCTAGCATCAGAAATAGATTGTACTCAATTCAGAACCCCCGTCATATCTTTATACCATGGTGTGGGCCTGGTTTACTAACCTAAGCAACTACTTACCTAAGCCCCACTATTGACTCACCACATTTTCTCACCTCCCCCTTCCATTTCCTTGAACAAAAACAATGTTTTTAAAAAGTGCTCTTCAGAGTGCAGTCCAGGAACCTGCAGCATCAATTTCACCTGGGAGTTTGTAGGAAATGCAGATTCTCATGTCCAGTTCCTAACCTTCTGAGTTAGAAACTCAAGAGGTGGCAACTAGGAATATGTGTTTAACAAGCTTTCCAGTTGATTCTTTTTCACAATGAAGCTTGCTTAGCACTGTTTAAAGGTGATTTGATATCTCTGCCTACAATGAGACAGGTTTTTTCATAATTTCAAACAGGTTACAGTTACAGTTACAGTTACAGGTTACAGTTCTCACTATGTCAAGTCCATTCTATGTCTTTACCTACCGATTTCTGCTCTGTGTAACTCTTTAATGCTCTTAGCCATTGGAATATTTGGAAAGTACAACCAGTTTCTGAAATAAAACTTTACATTAGAGAAACACACACTCATGGAAATCCAAGGTATTGTACAAAAGAAAGTGACCTTTTACCCTATAGTCACCTATTAGTCTAAACTGAGTCATTTTGGTGTGAGGGATAGAAGCCATAATTCTTGAATGGACTGCCCTTTTCTCTCTATTGCAATTCTGTGTCTGTCTTTTAAAAAAATCCTCCTTCCCTCTGCCATACCCTGCATCCTCATTGTCTCCCTATACACACTCAACTTAATTAATATCATGTGCAATACAATCTGCCACAAGGAACCCAGGAATACTTGGTAAGTCATAAAACTGGCATTGCTAATTCTCTCTATATTATGCTCTTGGTTTTAGAGTACAGCATTTTGGACAGCATTGTGCATTTTAAAAGAGTTAGGGAAGGGATACAAGCACATATATAAAGATGCTCAGTTTTTGAAAGTATAATATAAATGCCAATATTTTAAAACCTGTAGTTGTTGGGGAGACTGAGGAGTGGATACGAAGAGAAGGGCGCCAGAGGGAAGAAATCCTTTCAGTACTCTTAGCCTTAACCATAAAAGCAAGCAGAAGGGATGTTCTTGCAACAATCTTGGAAAAAACTGCCTTCTCCATGAATTGTGAAGACCAGACTCCTTGAACAATATGTTCTGGCTTTCTTCTTTTTCTGGTGCAATTGAACACACAGAAAAGCCCAAAAACTCAGAAGTATTAAAACATGTCCCATATGAAGTTAAAAACAGATTAAACTTTCCTTCTTTGGTTTCACCAATGCTTTAGTTTTTTAAAAGTAAAGAAAATTTTTCACCGACTTAAAGAAGGTTTGCAAAACTTTCCTCATTTTTCTACTCACAGGTCCGGAAGCTATAGAAGCAGCCTCTGCATTTCTTAATACAGAGTAAAGCCCCTCTTCCCTCCCACCTCCATCCCTCCATCTTCCTCTGCTCTCCATCAGAAGGCTGTTTGGCAAATTACAAAGAATAATGTGGTCTTTTCTGACAGTTTGGCCTGGGAGCCCCAAATGTAAACTCACATCACTGCTACCAATGAATGATTTTATTCATTTTAAAGTACTTATTTTCTTTTATTCAAATACACTTTTTATGACACGTAATACACCAAGAGGAAGTGGAATAAGTTTATTTCAGAAGAGAGATTTACATGACTACCTCTACATTAAAAATATTAAAAATTACTCTTTCTAAAATTCCCATCTAAAACTGTATTCATTTTTGCATATTCAATGCCCAAAACATCAAGGTGTATGTGGGTGTGCGTATGTTTATGGTTATGTGGGTCTGGTTTGTTTAGAGAGAGGTTCCACTTCACCATTGCCACCCACTTTGTCTTGAAACCGAAGGTATTCTGAGGTGCCCCTGGTTACCTGGAAGTGAATTCACCATACTTCAGTACCAGCACGTCTCTCTTCAAAATGTGGCTCAGGAGTCACTAAAGGAAACCACACAGTGTTAAGACTAAACATTCTTGAGTAAGCCTCAGTTATGGCAAATTCAACAGCCTGGCCGTTGAGAGAGCAGTTACCGAAATTTTCCAAATAAATAAAGCAAACAAGTTACTTCAGGAAGAAGTTCACATCTATATGATTTATAATACTGGGAGTTGGCCCATTGAGGCAAGA